GATTCATAAAATATGTGCTTTTTTGTTGCTGGCTTCTTTCACATACCATAATTTCACGTACTGTAATTTCACGTACAGTTTTTGAGGTTCATCCAGATTGTAGCATGTATTGTACTTAATTCCTTTTTATGTCTGAAAACTATTTCGTTGTATTTATATACCACATCTGATCTGTCCATTCACCAATTGGTGGATGTTTGGCTTGTTTCCACTTTTTGGCTATTTGTGAATAGTGCTGCTATGAACATTCACATATAAGGGTTTGCTTAAGTACCTGTTTTCAAATCTGCGTATACATAGGCATACCTTGGAGGCATTATAAGGTCAGTTCCAGACCACTGCCATAAAGCAAATTTTGCAATGAAATGAGTCATACAAATGTTTTTCGGTTTCCTAGTACATATAAAATTTATGTTTACAATATACTCTAGTCTATTAAATGTATTATAATATTATGTCTAAAAAATACTTTATTGCTAAAAAATACTAAAAATCATCAGCCAATTGTAATCTTTTTGCTAGTGGAGGATCTTGCCTTGGTGTTGATGGTGCTGACTAATCAGGGTTGTGGTTGCTGAAGTTTGGGCAGTTTCTTACAGTAAAACAAGAATGAAGTTGGCTGCATTGATTGACTCTTCAGCAGGAAACATTTCTCTGTTGCATGAGATGCTTTTTGATAGCTTTGTGCCCACAGTAGAACTTCTTTGAAAAGTGGAGCTAACCCTCTCACACCCTGCTGCTGCTCTATCCCTTAGTTTACGTAATAGTCTAAGTTTCTTGTCATTTCAGCCATGTTTGCAGCACCTTCACTTTGAATAGGTTCTGTTCTAAGAAGCTAAGAAAGCGCTTTCTTTATGCATAAAAAGCAACTCTTCATTGTGTAAGTTTTATCATGAGATTTCAGCAATTCAGCGCCCTTACCTCTTTGAGCAACATTTCTAATTTCACTTCTTTTGCTGTTTCTACCACATCTGCAGTTACTTCAATTAGTTATGAAGTCTTAGATCCCTTAAAAGTCATCCATGAGCATTGGAATCAGCTTCTTCCAAGTTCTAGTTAATGTTGATTTTTTGACCTCTTCTCACGAATCACAACTATTGTTAATGACATCTAGAATGGTGAATTCTTTCTAGGTGCTTTTCAGTTTACTTTGCCCAAATCCATCAGAGGAATCCCTATCTATGGCAGCCATAGCCTTATGAACAATGTATTTCTGAAATAGTAAGACTTGAAAATCAAAATTACTCTTTGACCCCTGGGCTACAGAATGGATGTTGTCTTAGCAGGCAGGAAAACAGCATCAATATCCTTTTAAATCACCATCGGAGCTGTTGGATGACCAGGTACATTGTCATGAGCAGTATTATTTTGGAAGGAATTTTTTTTTTCTGAGCAGGCGATCATAACAGTGGGCTTAAAATATTTAGTAAATTGTGCTATAAGCAGTTATGCTATCATTACAGGCTTTATTGTTCCATGTAGAGAGCACAGGCAGAGTAGATTTAGTGTCATTTTTATGGGCCTTAGGATTTTTAGAATAGTAAATAAACATTGGCTCGACTTCAAGTCACCAGCTGTGTTAGCCCCAACAAGAGAGCCAGCCTGTCCTTTGGAGCCTTGAAGCCAGGCCTTGACTTCCCTCTTTAGCTCCTACATAGCATATTATTCCAGTAGAAGACTATTTCAGCTACACTGAAAATCTCTTCATTAGGATAGTCACCTTCATCTTAGCTAGATCATCTGGGTAACCTTGCACTTTTGTGTTATGGACGTAGCTTCTTTCCTTAAGCCTCCTGAACCAAACTCTTGCTAGCTTTCAACTTCTACAGCTTCTTACTTCTCTCGGCCTTCAAAGAATTGAAGAGGGTTAGGGTTTTGCTCTGGATTAGGCTTTGGTTTAAGAGAATATTGTGTCTGGTTTGATCTTTTTCTATCCAGACCGCTAAAACTTTCTCCATATCAGCATTAAAGCTGTTTCTATTTCTTATCATTTGTGTGTTCGTTCACTGGAGCAGCTCTTTTAATTTCCTTCAAGAACTTTTCCTTGACGTTTACAACTTGGTTAACTGTTTGGTGCAAGAGACCCAGTTTTGCTAAATATTTTAAGCTCACTGTTATGATTGCCTGCTCAGAAAAAAAATTGGCCTGTCTTGGCATTTGACATGTCAAAAAATTGGCCTGTCTTGGCTTTTAACATGCCTTTCTTACTAAGCTTAATCGTGTCTAGCTTTTTGTTTGAAGTGAGAGACATAGACTCTTCCTTTCACTTGAACGTTTAGAGGTCATTGTAAGGTTACTAATTATTCTAATTTCAATATTATGTTTCAAGCAATAGTAAAGCCCAAGGAGAGAGAAAGTTGAGGGGAACAGTAATCAGTAGTGGTGAGAAAACATACAGTTATTGATTTTGACTGTCTTGTGTCAGCATGGTTCATGGTGTTCCAAAACAATTCCAGTAGTAAAATTGAAGATCACAGATGACCATAACAGATGTAATAATAATGGAAAATTTGAAATATGGTGAGAGTTATCAAAATGTGACCCAGAGACACAAAGAAAGCATATGCTATTAGAAAAAAATAGCACCAATAGATATGCTCAACTCAGGGGTGCCACAAACTTTTAAGTTGTTAAAAATAGCAGTGTTTGTGAAGCATAATAAAGAGAAGTGCTATAAAATGAGATAGGACTGGAATTGCTGGGTCATATGGTAGTTCTGTGTTTAGTTTTTAAAAACCTGCCAAACTGTTTTACACAGCTGTTGAACTGTTTTACATTGCTACCAGCAATGTAGGAGGGTTCCAATTTCTCCATGTCCTTGCCAACACTTACTATTTTCCTATCTTTTAATTATAGTCATGCTAGTGGGTGTGAAGTGATATCTCCTTGTGGTTTTGCTTTGCATTTCCCTAATGACTAATGACATTGAGCGTCTTTTTAAGTTCTTTTTGGTCATTTATATATCTTCTTTGGCAAAATTTCTCTTCAGGTCTTTTGCTCGTTTTAAAACTGGGTTGTTGTTTTGTTGTTGTAACATTTATATATTCTAAATGTGAGATCTTCATGAGATGTATCATTTGCAAATATTTTCTTCCATCTTATAAGTTGTCTTTTGATGTTTTTGATGTTCTTTGATAAACAAATTTTTTAATTTTGATGAAGTCAAAATTATTTTTTTGTTCATGCTTTTGGTGTTATGTCTAAGAACTTACTGCCAAATCCAAGGTTAAGATTTATCCCTATGTTTTCTTCTAAAAGTTTTATGGCTTTAGCCCTTATATTGAGATTATTCATATATTTTGACCTAATTTTTATATATGGTGTGAAGTAGAGGTCAGGCATCATTCTTCTACACGTGGCTATCCAGTTGTACCAGCACTATTTGTTGAAGAGGCTATTCTGTTTGCATTGAATAGTGTTAGCATCCTTCTTGAAAATTGACCATGGACGTATAGGTTTGTTCCAATTCTTTTTCATTGTTCTATGTCCTCATGGCAGTACTGCACAAGTTGATAGTTTTTACCTGTAGTATATGCTAGTATGATGTATTGATTTTTTAAGCTTTGATTACACTTTAGAAATTTTTCAAAACTTTGAGTAAATTTATTAAAGACTTTATTTCATCTACCAACAACATGCACATGCAAACTTAACAGATGGTTTTATTTTTAAAGTTTTTGGTATGTTTCGTCATTTCTCTGACTGCATACGGAACAGTGATATAGATATACGTCAGGGTGCATTGTAATTGAACTTTCACCATGAGTTAAATTTATCTTGAACCTCTAAATGAAGTCCTAGTTACATAAATTCATACTGCCAAAAGATGTGATGGGACCACCTATAGAAGTACCAGAATAGGAACAGCAGATTTGGACTATTACATCATGAAGAAATCACATATCTACAGAAAAGAGGGTTGGAAAATACTCTTTTATTCCCAGGTTATGGTTTTTAACTCTAGTAAATACAACAGAAGTTTAAGTGTTTTAGAAGCAGAATATGCTATGCCTTTTAATTAAGTCTATTTTGATCTTTTTCTTTTTTTCCTTATAATAATTTATTTGCTAAAGAAATTGAGTTGTTTGTCCTTCTGTTTTCTGCAGTCTAGCTTGCATTTGTTGATTAAATTCTTGTGGTGGTGTAGTTTAATATGTTCCTGTGTTGTACAGTTCCTGCAAATTGGTATTTGGATATGGGGGTGTCCTAGTGACTTGATCAAAGTTTGGCCAAAAAATTTTTTTTTTTGTTATATGTTCACTTCATAGGTGATGTTTCTGTCTTCTGTTTGGGAAGTATATCATACCTGCTTATCTCTCTTTCCATTATGTGAGCTAAGTTTATCTCATTTCATATTAGTTTTAATAGTTCAAAGGATTTTAGAGGGATGGAATGGTGGTGAGATGTACAGGCCAAGAACCTGGGTACAGGCTTTGATTCTTCACTCACTATTTCTGTAATTTTGGAAAGTCATTTTCCCTCTCAGTGTTCAGTTCCTTATCTGTGTGATGGAGATGATGATGCTTCATAAGATCATTTTGGAGGTAAAAGAGGTAATGCGTGGAGAAAGACCTTGCACAGAGCCTAACAAAGGGCTCAACAGATATTAACTATTGTTGTTGTTTTGTGAATTTTAAAGTATTCTAAATCTAAAGGGTAGATTATCTCAATTTGTAAATGAGGAAATTGAAGTGTGGATGGCTAAGTTTTTGGCTCATCTGGGTTTATTTTAGGGAAAAAGAAAGTAAATTATTCAGTGAGGCGAGTATCTCTCCTTTGTTTCTATCAATGTGAACAAATAGCTTAATTCAAAAGTGACTTTTGCATATGGCTTGATGTGTTGGTGTGTGGTCATATTAATTGGCCCCATTTAATGCTGAAAGGTAGGCTCCTTGTTGAACAGATTGTATATGTACATACCATGGTGTATTTTATACGTGCAGTCCACAGAGAAATATTTTTTTCCCCATAGGAAGCTTGCATTATTGTTTTTATTTTACAGTGTAATGTTCAAGCCCAGAAATGCCTTATGTGGATCGTCAGAATCGCATTTGTGGTTTCCTAGACATTGAAGAAAATGAAAACAGTGGGAAATTTCTTCGAAGGTACTTCATACTGGATACCAGAGAAGACAGTTTTGTGTGGTACATGGATAATCCACAGGTTTGTAAAATCAAAAGCATAGAAAAGTTTTATTTATTTCAGTGCTTAACATACTAACAGGTTTTAGAATTTGTCTTCTTCAATAGTGTATGTTTAGATTTATTTCCACCAGCTCTACTCTCCTGCCCTGCACCTCTGATTCCTATTGTTTTGTTAGAATTTCAGAAGGTGAAACTAAATTTATTTGGTTAAAATAAAATTATGCTTTTGCATATGTTTTTCTCTTCTTGAAAGAAAAATGCTCTCTTTGGTAGACAGTGCTTAACTCGTTTAAATTTAAGATGCTGTATCTAGGATAGAGACTACTGTCTTTTAATAAATACCTACTTCATACTCTAGTGCACGTCCATCTTGCTGTGTCAGCCTTGATTGCCAGTCATTGTAATGCCGCCTGTGAAAATCCAATGCATTTTGATTTTATTGTTGCCTTGCAAATCTTTGGGGTAAATGTCACAAATTAAAACCTAGAGTCTCCATTTTAAGATCTATAAGAGGCCTAAGATTAAAGATCATCAGTAAAATAGTTTTAAACTTTCTGAACCCCTAGAACTCTTTGTCTTCAAGTAAAAACTGGATAAAATTTAAAAATGGACATACATGTTGCCAGGAAGTATGTCCAAAGCAAGGGATGAATTCCTAGGGAACTTCTAAGCTGATTTTGTCAGTAGACTTCTTGTTGGGTGCGAAATGGAAAGTCTGGGGAAGAGCAGAGACTTTTCTTCCATTCCGCAGACCAGAGACCAGATCTCCTGGTAACTACTCTGGTGTTCTTTACTACTGACTACTGATTTTAGATTAGATAAGAAACATATGTGCTAATATGTGTATATTTCTTTATGTAGAATTTGAGTTATAAGGGAATTTTGTATTAATTCAACCTCTTAATGTGAGAAACCCATCCATCCATGTCTTTATTTTAGCTATTTGAACTACTTGTTACTAAAAAGTATTATACTGGAGACAGCTTCAATTAGAATTTTTTTCTGCAACCCAAAATGTAATTCCTTATATTTTCTACCCATTAACTCTCCTTTTGCCCTCTGATTCTCTTAAAGTAAATTTTAGTCTTTTACACACAAGTAGCCTTTCAAATTCTAGAGGATAATTTTTGCATGTTAATTCAGTTTATATTATTTGAGTGCTGACTTTATATAATACTTTCTTTTTGATGGGAACTGTCTGTTTTCTATCACTATCCTTATAGAGCTTATTGATGTCCTACTTTTCTCTTATCTCTGGGTGTAACCAGCTTTCTTGGGTGATAGCCATCTGGCTATGCAACTATATGATTATTACCTTTCCTTACTTGATGAGAGTCTGTGGGAGAAACAACAGACAAGCCGAAGTTCGTGTTTACCTTTTTCTTTTTTAATATAAATCATATTTCTCCTATTTCTCTTTATCTAGGGTACTATCCCCTTGAAAACTCCATTTCCCAAAGTAGAAATGCCATCCTCTTTGACCCCCCCCAATTACTATTGACTGGATTCCCATTCCTGATTCTCCTCACCCTTGTAGGCAACTGTGTAGTTCTATCTGTGTTGAACTGTTCTCCCTGATTTGACTCTTTCTCTTCAAAAGGTCTGATGGATTTATAAATGGTTTTGCCTAAATTTTACTTAAAACTCCTTGTTTTTTTATTTTCATGCAGAATAGATTCTTCTTATAATTCCTTCTTTTACTTGTCCTTCCAAATTAACAGAGCTAAAAGAAGAGGATAAGTTCAAAACAGGATGTATTTATTACCTTGAATGAAATACGACCTTAGAATCGAGAGGAAGGTTGTATTTATAGCAAGTAGAGGGTGTTGAAGTCTTCATGAAAGTGGTAACATTTGAAATTGACCTAGGTTACCTGTGATTTTTGGCTAAGAGTGGAGAAGTGTGGGTAATCAACAAAAAAAAGCAAACAATCCCATCTATCACTGGACAAAAGACATGAACAGAATCTTCTCTGAGGAAGAGAGATGAATGGCTAACAAACAAAAATGCTCATCATCTCTAATTGTCAGTGAAATGCAAATCAAAACCACCCTGAGATATCACCTACCCCCAGAATAGCCCTCATCTCAAAGTCCCAAAGTTGCAGATGCTGGTGCAGATGTGGAGAGAGGGGAACACTTTTACACTATTGGTAGGATTGCAAACTAATACCACCTCTTGAAGTATGGAGAATCCTCAAATAACTCATATTAGACCTCTCATTTGATCCTACAATCCCATTACTAGGCATCTACCCAGAAGGACAAAAATTATTCTATAATAAGGACATTTGCACTAGATTGTTTATTGCACCTCAGGTTACAATCGCCAAGATGTGGAAACAACCTAAATGCCCATCAACCCAGGAATGGATTAACACACTGTAATATATGTATACCATGGAATACTATTCAGCCATTAAAAAGATGGAGACTTTACATCTTTTGTATTAACCGGATGGAGTCAAAACACATTCTTCTTAGTAAAGTATCACAAGAATGGCAAAGCAGATAGCCATCGTACTCAATACTAATAAAAGCCAGTAGACGGGGTTTAATACACACCCATAGAGAAGAAAAATTCAATTCAATTCAAGTTATGGGGAGGGGGAATGAGAGAGGGAAGGAGGGGAAGAGATTGGTGTGTTTCCACTTAATGGGCACAATGCAGGGGTATGTGGCACACCTTTTGGGTGTAGGACACAACTACAAGAGGGACTCTACCTAACAAATGGAAGTATTGTAACCTAGTTGTGAAAAAAAAATAACGTGGGCAAAGAAACCAAAGCAAGAAAGCATGTGGTGTACTGGAGAATAGTTTGCTTTGGCTGTAGCAAGAGGAGTATTAAGGTTTGTGCTCAGCTAGGTCTTTTTCACATGAACTTTGTTAAAGCCACAGCTCTATGTTGTAATTAATGCATTGTTTTTCCTAGACGTATTACAGAATTTTAAATTTATCTTTTCAGTTCATTCTTATTAATTTTTTATCTCTTCTTTTCAACTTAGTTTCTTTTAAAATTTTGATTCTGCTAACCAATGTATTAGACATTACCAATTTTATGTCACTTTTAAATGTAATAATCAAGACCTATCTCTTCATGAAAACTTCAGTGAAATGTCTTGCTAAGATTATTATGTTAGGTTGAACCATATGAAATTACCAATGTACCAATAGTTTGAATTACTTAAAAATGGCAATTTAATATAGTTCAGTCTTATAGTAAGCTCATAGCAGTCTGAGAAGGGCCACTCCTAACCATTCATTAAGATAAGACCATAGACTTTTTTTTAAAGGTATATATTATTATAAAGTCAGTTAACAAGTTAATCCTATTTAATCTCCAGTGGAGGTAATTTTCAAAATCAAGAATGTTTTACTTTTACTTTTGAAATCTTCTATGAGTCATTCCTTATATTTCAATATATCTCATATATTCTTTGACCCTGTTTCCAGGGTTCTTTTATGTGTTTTTCCTACCTCTATCATCCCCCTGCATAATCAATTCAGCTTATTATATTACATGATATATTAATTAAAGCATAATTTTGATTACAGGTCTGCTCACACGCTTTCTTCATTGGCTTCAGATTCTCTACAGTATAAATTCCTTGCTGCTTTATTTTTTATTTAGGTCCTCTTTGATTATCTTTGCAGTTCAAGTTCTCAGATCCTCCCTTTGTGCCACCGTCCTGTACAGCTCAGCACAGCCTCTTACCCACTGTAGTACAGAGCTTCTCTGTATCCTCAGCTGCTTGTTGTAGTTTGTTTTCTCTGCCTGGAATATTCTCTGTCCTGTTTTTTTGTGTTTCCAATATTTTCTTTTAAAGTGCAGCTTAAGTGTTATTCATTCCTTCAGAGTCTTTCCTCATAGCTTCAGCCAGAAATAATTCTCTCCCTTTGTAATTCTTTATCCTTATGTGTTTTATGACACAGACCACATCCAAAACTTAAGGGAAGAATGAAAGTATTTTGTGTGAGTACCAATAAGTACATTCCCTGTATGTGATTTAAAGAGAATCAGTAATTTTTTAGAAAAAGGTATCAGTGTAGATTAAATATGATATTACAAAAACTAAACTATTTAAGTGGGAAATCCAATCCATTTTTCAAGAGATATATTTGATAAAAAATTTTAATAGAACAAAGTTTAATATATGTGGTCTTTTAAACTCTCTAAATTATATTTGTTTTATTTCTCTAAATATTTTCCCATTGCTTTTAGGAACAGAATCTCATCTTGTTGATGGCTTTGTAAGCTCATTAAAAGATTATTAGTTTAGCTACAATAATAAAAATAGCTGTTCAGTCCTAGAATGCATTATGATAGTACAGAGTAGGATCCAGTTTTGTTATCCAAGTTGTCAATTTGATTTCAGACCTAGTAAGTATTTGAACTGAACTGAAAAAAGTTGATTTGTAAAATGCAATATTAAAAAATCTAATTTCTTTTTTTAGTATATGTGGAACATTATATTATTAAAGTGAATTTTGCCATGTTGGACATTAATTATATATTAATAATTTGTTTCCAGAACCTACCTTCTGGATCATCACGTGTTGGAGCCATTAAGCTTACCTACATTTCAAAGGTAGTCCTTATACATTGTCTCATAATCATTTGTGAATTAAAGTCCTTCTGAGTGAGAGTATGACTGGGAGTAGCAGTTACTGATGCCTTATTTAACAGTGGTATTCAGGCTCATACATTAAGACAGTACCTGATTACTGTGTGTAATTAGGAAGTTCTTTAAATTGATAAAATTAGTAAAATTAGGAAGAATATGAATTTGACATATAGGATATGGCAAATTGCAAAAGTTAACATCAACTTTTTTTTTTTGAGACAGAGTCTCAGGCTGTTGCCCTCGGTAGAGTGCTGTGGCTTCATAGCTCACAGCAACCTCAAACTCTTGGGCTTAATCAATTCTCTTGCCTCAATCTCCCAAGTAGCTGGGACTACAGGTGCCCACCACAACGCTTGGCTTTTTGTTGTTGTTGTTGCAGTTGTCATTATTGTTTTAGCTGGCCCGGGCTGGGTTTGAACCTGCTAGCCCTGGTGTATGTGGCCGGTGCCCGACACACTGAGCTACGGGCGCCACCCAACATCAACTTGTTTATGGTCAGACATCTGAATATCAGAAAGAGAGAAATCAGTTAGCAATTAGGTTTTACCTTGAGAAAGTCTGGAGAATTTTCTAAGTTGGTATTATGTTTATTTAGACTGTAACTTTTAAATTCCATTGTCTTTGACCTTATATTTCTTAATGTTTTGTTTTGAGGAAAATGTATTTTCATGTTGAAAGGATAATTTTTCCCTCTTTTCACTTTGTTATTACTAAATTACATTTTCTTGTTGATTGTTTTTCTGGTATTTTGCTCTACTATTTATTTTTTATTTTCAAGAACTTACAGAGTTTTATATTGGTCAAGTAGCTTTTATTCCCCTTATTTTCTTCTAATAGTGTTTTGGGAACTGAACTAGAGATGCTGAGGTGCTTGCCCAGTGGGGATTTTTGTGTTTTACACAGAAACCATAGAACTTTTTTGATGACTTAAAATATGAGATCCATAGGTTGCAACACAGTGTTACTAAGGAACGTGTATTACTATGCGTATACTGGGATCTGTTGGGAAGGATGGATCACTTCAACAGAATTTTGAATAGGTAATTTACATCTATACCTCTGTTTAAAGACAGATTTTTTTTTTAAATAAGATAGTTTATTATCTGTATTACATAGAGCTATTCATTCTCATTAACTCTTCCACCCCCCAAAAAGTAGGCTGGAAAATACTTAGATATTTAAAAGGAAACATTTTCTTCTAAAGTCATACTATGTAAACTTACTATGCAAATATTGTTTAAGTATACCTGAAGTATTCCTGTAAATTCAGACATTTATAAAATACTTCAGAGTTGCATGCAGCTTAAATTCTGTAGAGATTATTAGGAAGCATAAGAATTCCATTGTAAAACAAATTTCAGAGCCCCCGTTTGCTCATTGCCTCATTGCTGGATTACATCTCTTATATAACATAAATGCATTGCCAAGCAGTTTTTACTCTCAACAGAATGATGTGGGAAGTCCTATTTTGTTGGAATATGCAGTTGAGGGAGACAGTGCTCATTTGCCTATATCTTTCCAATTGTTTCTTGCCTGTTCTTTTTCCAAAAAATGAGAACTATTTTTCAAAATAAAGCATTAACTGAGTAAAGTAGGCAGGGTGACTGGCCGGCTGCTTTTCCCGCCTTCATTGCTCCTCTTTGAAAATACACAACCTTGTTTCTGTGCAGTTCTGTTAACTTTCATCTCTGTCCTAAGCTTTCCTAAGTTTTTTTTTTTTTTTTTTGAGACAAAGTCTCATTTCGTCACCCCCGGTAGAGTGCTGTGGCATCATAGCTCACAGCAACCTCAAATTCCTGGGCTCAAGTGATCCTCTTGCCTCAGTTTTTCTACTTTTAGCAGAGACAGGGTCTCACTCTTGCTCAGGCTGGTCTCCAAACTCCTGAGCTCAAGTCATCTACCTCCCTTGTCCTCCCATAGTGCTAGGAGTATAGGCGTGAGCCACCATACCCAGCCTAGCTTTCCTAAGTTTGAATTATACAGTTTGTACTCTACTTTAGATGTGTCTTTTTTTCCCAAAATTTATTTCTGGGATAGTCTTCAGTGTGACTCAGAGCTGTGAATTTGTAGTTTGGATCAGTGAGGAACCCCAGACTGAAAATTCTTTTTGAAGGCACAAAACAGATGTTACAATTACGAGTTCCATCACTGGGCCATAGCACGGCAAGAATCATGAATAGGTTTTCAAGAGCTCCTTTATTTAAAGGGCCAGCACCAACCAGGTGCATCTCGTTACTTCACCTTCTGTAATGAACCATGTGCTACATTTAATAAAGTGACCACATTATCTTGGGGCATTTTCCTGTACAAGAAGGGATCAAGTACCATTTTGGTTTTCTCATAACAGATTAATGCTTTAATTGATTTTCAGATTAATTTAAATGCCTGTGTTTTAGGGCTTTAAATATACAGTCATTCCCTTGTCTACCACCATTTTTGCTTGTTCAATTTCTAAATTGTTCCTACTTAATTTAGAAATATGTTATTTGGGAAGAATTCCTAGTTTCTGTAGAGTGTTCATCGAGGATATTTTGACAATTATTTTAAACTAAAATAACTTTCACATTTTCTTCGAAAAAAACCAAGTTTGTGGCTTGGCACCTGTGGCTCAAGTGGCTAAGGCACCAGCCACATACACCTAAGGTGGCGGGTTCGAATCCAGCCCGGGCTGCCAAACAACAATGACGGCTGCAACCGAAAAAAAATAGCCAGGCATTGTGGCGGGCGCCTGTGGTCCCAGCAACTTGGGAGGTGGAGGCAGGATACTTGCTTGAGCCCAGGAGTTGGAGGTTGCTGTGAGCTACTCCATGGCACTCTACCCAGGGGGACAGCTTGAGGCTCTATCTCAAAAAAAAAAAGAAAAGAAAAAAGAAAGAAAAAGAAAAAAACCAAGTTTGCTTAAAGAAAAAGAGGAAGTATCATTTGCTACATCTTACAGTTGAGATTTACATCCTATATTTAATTTGCTGTTCTTATTCAGTTGCATTTAAAGTTTAATTTTAGATTTGTTTGCTAAATGCGTCTATTGGGAAATCATACATGTGGACGTTTACACAGTATTTAAGATTTGTTACAGGAGAGTGATGAAGAGGTAGGTAACTCAGCTTTATTTTTCTCATTAGGTTAGCGATGCTACTAAGCTAAGGCCAAAGGCTGAGTTCTGTTTTGGTAAGTAGAGCCATATTTTATGTTAGTTATTTTAGATTAAACTTATATAAGTATACCGTGTTGCAAAAGAAAACAGCCACAGAAAGTCACACAAAACAACCTGTGACTCACTGAGTTATTCTAAGGGGATTTCCTCTGTAACCATCATACAGGTGAGGAAACAAAACTTCGCCCCCCTGCTACCATCCCTGAAGCCTCTTTTCTGTGGCACATCTAGTCACAGTTGTCCCCCTCCATCCATAGGTAACCATTATCCTGGTATTTTTAATGATCCCCTCTAGAGAGATTTCAGGTAATTTTTAACTTTGTGTCTCATACTATTCTATATTAAATACATAAATAACAAAAAGGATTTGGTGTTCAGCTTGTGGGTAATAGGGAAATTTATAGTTGGGGGAACAAGTAGTTGAAAGTATTGAATTAACTTGTTCAGCAAATGTTTAGTGGATGCCTATTCCATGCCAGGCATTGTGCTTGGCACTGGGGCTGTGAGACGATCAAGAAGCAGTTGCTGCCTTTAAGGATCTCACAGCCTGGTTGGCTCACAGACAGATACAATACCAGGTAATTATCATTGCATTTGTCACAATTAGTAGGTAATTGTGGGTGTGCAGTCTATTAAAGAAACATAATCTAAGAACTTCATGTCCTTATTGGAGAGCTCAGGAGTCAGGGGAGCCACACTAGATGAGGAGATACTTGAGCTGGTGACTGCTAGACTCCTGATCATCTTTCCCACTGGGGAGAATAAGCGGGAAGACCACACAGATAGAAGCAGTCAGGGAGGAGAAAATGGTTTGTTTGGAACTGACACTCAGGGAAGTTGTAGGGGATGATGAGAAGCTGGAGAGTGTAAAGGCAGTAGGAGTCGGGGTTCATTGTGTGGACTGAAAGGAACCATTTAAACTATTTTCTATTGTGAGAAAGGGAAGCAAGAAAGAGAGCATCTAGAAGACAGAAGGTGGAGGAGGTTGGTTTGTTTTTTTGTGTGAATAGGAAAGTTTTGATGCAGGTAGATTAATAAGTGGCTTTAGGACCACTAGACTGATGTAAGGGCCTGAGTTAGGATGGTGGGCAATGGGAGAAGAAGGAAAAATGAAAAACATTAGAAGAGAAAGGGCAGGCACTTGGTGGCTAGACATGTGGGAGAGGGAGGTAGTTGGCAGGTTTGCTTTCAGTAAAGACATGAAGAATTAGGGAAGCTGATTAGATAGGCTGAAATGTTTGCTTAAGGAGTTTGACACAGCGCGGGAACTTCCCAGTAGAAATCATCTGGTGACAGGACATGAGAACTGGGTGGCACTTGAAGAGTGGAGAAGTTTGGAGAATTGGAGCTGAGAGAATCGGTATCTTCTCAGAGTGTGTTAATGGACATTAGTGATGAAAAGAACAAAAATTTGAAAAAATTAAAAAAGATACTTTTGAGGGTAGAATCATTGTTAAAGATCTTTGCTTTCTTTTGCCTGCAAAAGGCATATTTCTTCTGTAGACAGTATGTTAGGAGTTACATGTATCCAATAAGAAAATGTGGTATAAGCAGGATGAAACATAGCTGTTTACGGAATCCTCTGTAATACTTTTATCATTCCTAAGAAACAATTTAAAAAGTTACATGTTTATTGCAAATTATAATTTTGGTTACTAAGTAAGAAAGTGTCTTAGAGCCTTGTGAATGAAAGGTTATTGGCAATTTAACAGAGAACTTAGAATTTTAGAATGTATAATCCACATGCTTTGGACAAATCTTTTTCAGTAAAATCTCAGAACTATACTAGAAAAAATGTAGTATGTAGTAATAAATTCAACATTCATAGTTATGGTGGGTATTTGGAGTAGATGATCTGCATTGGAATCAGAGATGAAAATTATTCACTTATTGGTTCTGTCAATAGATGATTAGTCCTCTAGGAGTAAAGATTCATAAAATACTTGTCTTCAGAGAGAAAAGCACTGGTTTCTAAAATAGAACTATCACTTTGATTCAAAATGATAGCACATATCACCTTAAATTGCCCCAAAACAGAACAAGAAATGCTCACATCATCTTGATGAAGGAGCAGATGTGTGTAATTGTTGGTGTATAAAGATTGAAAGTAGATGGAGGATGGCAGGTAACTTAGCAGAGTAGAGAAATACGCTGGTGAGAGGCTCGCTCTTTGTATACTGCCCCCACCCCAACTCTAGATAGGGCTAGTGAAGAGGGACCAAAGAATAGCGGCTTTGTTTGAATGTCTCTGTAAGAAACAACCTCTAGTCCAGGAGTGTCCATCCTGTCTCCAGGGGCTACATGCTGATTTTGTGAGGACTTTTTTTGCTTATCTGTGGTGTCGCATATCATGAAAAGTATTTGTGGACCTTTTTCTTTGCTTATCGATTTTCTTTGGTGTTTGTGTGCTTATTGTGTGGCATAAGATAATTCTTATTTTTCCAATTGCAGCAGAAAAGAAAAAAAGGTTGAACACCCATGCTTCTAGTCCATCTGGCTCAGTCAAGCAGCCACCCTTCCTTTATTCTAGAAGGAAATGGGATGAATGCTATCTCCAGAAATAGAATCAGTGAGACTCCATACATGGGGAAAGGAATGAGGCATGAAACTGAAAATACAAGGATTCAATGAAAGTCTGCACACTTGAGTGCAGCCCTTTTCTGCATCGAATCTGAGAGCACTGGGCAGCCAGGTTTAGGTGGGATAAGAATCTGAATATGCTGGGGAAAAGACCCATAGTCAGTGGCATCTGGACATTTTTACTAGAAGAACTTGCCATAGTTGACTAATGAGGTCCACCAGTCAGAAACCCCACGACAACTGGAGAGAGAGTCCTGTCATATCAGTCTTTTTGTTAGAGTAACTTGTTTTTAAACATGAACAGACAGCCCAGGATTATTAAAATTTAAGGAGAGAGAACTACCAGATAGAAACATGAGGCTAGGCAAAACTCAGAAGAAAAAGTCCTCTGAAAGTTAAACAAAGGGGCTCGGCGCCTGTGGCTCAAGCGGCTAAGGCGCCAGCCACATACACCTAAGGTGG